GATGAGAATCTGTCCTTCTTCATAGCCTCGTCCGGTTCCCCTCTCCCCAAAGGCAAGGAGTTCGATTAGCACAACTAGAAAAGATTCCAGCTAGACGGTATCTAGCAACTGCCCCGCGCATGCACATGTGGCACAAGTCCGAATTTAATGTGCGGCTTTCGAGTCCGTAGGCTTGGCCAAATATCCCCGTAGACCTCGCATAAACAGGATTGGGTCTGTCTACCTACCCGGACGAGACTCTGTCCTTCGACATAGGCTCATCCGGGTTCCAGATGCCTTCGGGCAAAGAGTTCGACCAGCACAGCTGGAAAAGATTCCAGCTCGACGCTATTTAGTAACTGCCCCACGCAGTCACATGTGGCACAAGGCCGAATTTAAAGTGGAGTTCCTGACCCCAGGGGCTCGGCCAAAAAATCCCCGTAGACCCCGCATAAACGGGATCGGGACCGTCTACCTCCCCGGACGAAACTCTGCCCTTCGGAATAGCCTCGTCCGGGTTTCTCTCAGCTCGAAGGCAGAGAGTTCGACTAGCGTACCTAGGAAAGATTCCAGCTCGACTCTGTAGTCCGTTGACTTACCGCTACTTATAATAGTTACTACCTATAGTGTAGTTATTCATGGGGTGACAGGTTATTCCATTACATCAATACGTAATCAGAATTTTTGAATCATTCAGTGAGAACAATACTTCTGTTTCATAATGTTAAATGATTTTTTAATGTTTAGATTTATACTTGAGTGTTTGATTCTCAAGTCCGCAGCAAGATTAAGTCTACTTAGGTATTTAAACTTTATTGCAATGTAATAGGAAAATCCACCTTCATATAAGTAGGCTGTTGTGTTTTTAACCGGAATGTATACACACCAAAGTTACGTCAACGAAAGTCAATTAACAACCAGAGCTTTTCCAATATGGCGAGAAAATTAACTTTCAGATTTATGTGTTGTCATAGTAAACAGATGATATCACAATCAATAACTACTTTCAATTCAGCAGTAGAATGATACAATTATCATTCAATGATATGCGATATAAAAAAAAGTATTACACGATACATGACAACATTATGGAACAATCTAAATCTGTTGGCAACTATGTTTTTAGAAATTATTTACCAACCTTGATAATGTGTTATGTTAAACATTTATTGCCCAGAACTGTTGTTACGGAACCCCAGACACTCCTTCCATTTTGGGAATTTTTGGTCTAGATAATTTGAGGAGCAAATGTAGATTTAGAGGTTATCACTTGACGTTAAGTAGGGTCTCACTAAATATCTTATTAATCGTGTGATCAAATGTTATGTACTGGAAATCTTTTAGTAACATATATATATATATATATATATATATATATATATATATATATATATATATATAATCAAATGGATAAATCTAGGCAAAAAATCTAGGCATTAATTCAAATCCAAAATTAGCCCCCCAAAATATCAGTACTTGAAAATTGCGTTGGCATGATTTGGAGTTGTGCAATTAATGTAAGGTATTCTGTATATTTTAATGTATTAAATAGCTCTGTTATTTAAAATTGAGCACTTTTTTTTACACTACACTATAAAGTATATATATATATATATATATATATATATATATATATATATATATATATATATGTATATTTGATTTTTTAAAAATGATCAAAAATGTTAAAAATCAAAAGAAAACAGTTATATCCATTACATCATGTTTTTGAAGATCTACAGGAAAGCCCGTCCATTCCAAACGATAACAATCTGATCATAATTTAAACAATATTCATTTATTAATACATATATATATATATATATGTGTGTGTGTGTGTGTGTGTGTGCGCGCGCATGTATATATATATATATATATATATATATATATATATATATATATATATATATATATTGAATATTTCTCTCACTTTTTTGTTACCATACTTTGATTTATGGCACCTTGTGTCCTCCAGATGTTTTGACTGACCTCTCAACCAGCTAATGATTATTCATTAACGTTCTAAAATTTAAAAGCCTTGATAAACCAATGATGTCTCTGCTCTTCTATATAAACACGTGCAACAAAATAAATCCTTACATTGCCCTATATAAAGTCCCTGAGAGGACGAAATGAGTCGCCTATGAATAATTTTTCCTCTTGCCTTCATATATATATATATATATATATATATATATTTATATAAATGCAAGAGGAAAAACTATTCATAGCCTGATATTTCTTATTTCCAATCAGCGTTGTTTACTATTAGCCGCAGATCGATTCGATGATTAGTTATGATAAAGAAATTCAGATGAAAGATCTGTAAAGACAAGTATCGTTGTAAAGTAAGTTTTCAAAGACAAAATAAATCCTGGCTCTCAGAGATAATTCTTTCATTTAAATCCACTCGGTTTGTTAATGAAGGCTTGAATTGATACAGTAAAATTTCGTACGAGCAAAAACAAAATGACTTCCACCAAGATATTTAAAGAATATTAAACTTACTGCTTAATTTTAATGCGATATCACTACAATAAATAGACGATTATGTCTCTCCACATTATCCTTTACTCCACAGTAATCCTTTCGCAAGGGTATTATTGTGAAAATAATCACAGCAGACCAATCTGTAATTTTAACTCGGGACTTTGATTCCAATTTCCACGCCGATAACCGTTGCATTTGCATCCTGTCGATGTAAGAAAAAGCAAGAGAAATTAGATAATATATAAATATTATTCATAACATGTAATAATTATCAATGCTTCATATGGGACATTCAAAAATTATTATATTTAATAAGACAAAAGAATTAATAGTCAAAGATAAATAATTGACAACGCTTCCTCTAAGACAATCAAAGACGATTACATTTAATACGACTAACGTAATGAAAAGTCAGTGAAATATTAAAGTACTAGACAAAAATGAATGATGATTACAACGCCATATGGACAACATTTAGTGATTATTTCATTTAGAACGACTAATGTATTAAAAAGAAAATAGATACTAGTAAAAAAATTAATAAAGCTTAAGAATTCATCATCGAAAACATTCGAATAATATTAAATGTGATACAATAAATGCAATGAAATGTAAGAGGAAATAAATAGTAATGAAAACCTGTAATCGTCAATGATTCATCTGAAACATTCAATGACTACCACAATTAATACGATTAATGTAATAAAAATCAAGAAAATAAGATGAAAAATAATACTGAAAATGATAGTAATAGACAATGCTTCATAACAAGAGGTGGCCCTCATAGAAAGGTTTATTCTCCAATTTGTATTTCCCTGTTATGGGCATTATCATATCCATGATATAATAACACCGTATTTCACGGACGAAACGGAATGTTTGGAAGGAAAATGAGTGACAATCATGCTTTGTTGTTAGGGAAACTTTTATACTACTAGCACATACATAAAACTATGTATACATATATACATGTGTCAATACGGAAAACAATATTTCACAACAAACCAAATTCTAAGTAGAAAGAAAAAGGAAGTGTTTTGCATATAATATAGATAAACTTCTGTGTCTGAAGAAGCCATGATTATGGACTCCAGATACAAATGGGATGGATTCATTTATGTCACAGGAATAAAATTAAAAACACGAAGAATTTTATTTTGAAGTACTGTTTTTTTTTATTTGAACATGAGCTATTGAAAGTTAGAGAGTTGTTTTTATCAGACAAGATGGCGGAATCTGAAAACAATCGCAATAATGAAAACTTGGGAATCCAAAATTTCAGGATTGCGGGTCTGGATCTGTCTGGGACAAATACAGTCGGCTTGATTCCAAAATGTTATGATATGTTGGGCTACGGCCTCTAGGAGTAAAGTTGGAAAAGTGTGACAGACTGAAATTCGCATTTATCATATAGGTTACCAATGCTTCATCCTCAAAAGGAAAAAGCAAGAAAATAGGTCGAGTAAATAAACAATAATAATTGACAATGCCTCCTCGAAAATCTTTTAAGGCTGTTATCTTTAATACGACTGATGTAAAAAAAAAAAAAAAACAGAAATATAATGACAGAAACAGTAATCAAAAAATATTAATAATGGTAAAGTCTTCATTTGAGGCATTCAAAGATGATTACATTTATAATCAGGAATATAATAAAAACAATTGAGTGATTAATTAGTTTAATAAGGCTTGTCGTTATGAATAAAATCCAAAGAATTAGAATCTTATTGGCTCTGATGTGGTACCACCAATTCAGTCATTTTGCCACCGCCGTAAAGTGGCTTCTCTTTGGTTTTTCAGTTAATACTTTCATGGTAATTATTCGGATGAGTTCTTCGCTATGGTACCTAAATTCAAGCACAGTAATGGATTGACAACAATATCTCATCAACATACAATCGAATTGACTAGATGTAACCATAAGTTCTATGCTAACAGCTTATTTTCTCGCACTACTTGTTTATTGAACTCTCTTCATCTTTTCCAGCCAACTTTGATCTTAAAATATTTAAATGCAATATCAATCGTTAGCTACTGCCTTATTGATAACTTTTCTTTTGTTCATGCTCCTTAATATTTTTTCTAATTCTTTCAGATCCAGTAACCCGTTGTGTCTTAGTGGCTTTACTGCCTTGTTTGGGGTAAATTCTTTTTTTTTTTTTAATATTTTCCTTATTTTCCTCATAGATTTCTGATTTCCTCGGGTCATTAAAAGTTTTACAGCCGGAATAATTTTTATTGGTTACCCGAACTTTTACAATTTATCCCCATAAATAACAAAAAGTTATTTAGTAAATCGTCTATCGTAAGCTGTGATGCTATTATTCTATTGGCCCTTCGACGTAATGTAATGGTTAACATGATGGTTTCGCTAGATCAATTCTGAATAAGTAATGAGTTAGATCCTCACTGGGTGCGCCAAACTTTAGACCTTGTGCCACATCTAAGCTACGCTTAGAAAGTACCTATTGTAAATCATGATGATTTTTAATAAAGTTTTAATCAATTCAGTTATAACCGTTTATCCAAAAATGGAATTTACTAAACGTAACTTCATCAGGCGCAAGGTAACAACAGTGTGAACATCTAATGAAAATCACATACACCTCATAATAAAGAACAGTAAATTCTATGCTAAAATTTATCTGGCTTGTGGAACGCTCATCTGACTTCTTGCTTCCAAATCAACTTTATTGTTCAAAAATTGAAATGCAATGTCAGTCGTTATCTTCTTCCTTAATTCCTGTTCTTTTATTTTTCTCTCTCCTTAATGACTTTTTTTTCTGATATTCTCTCACACCCACGAACTTAATTCGTCTTTATTGCCACTATTGGGTGAAATGATTTTTTAGAGTCTTCTGAGAAGACGATAAATGTGACACCACAATCCGATCCGATGGTATATTGAAGGCAAGTGGAACACAGGGAAACAGTAAGAATGTATAGATGATGAATAACGGGAACAGCAGGTGGGAGAGATGTCGAAAACAAAAACCTTAATAAGAGCTACAATAAATAGGAAGATTTGGAGAGCCATGATTAATCACGTCCTAAAGGAGCATGGCACATAAAAGATGAAGAAGTAAACGACATTGTTCTGTATTTCAGTATATAATAATACTTCTTTATCTTGGTTATTCTACCTATTTTTTATTCATTAAAATATAGCTTTTACATATTCGTTCCAGATAGCCATTTTTTTGTCGTGATAATAATCTGTTTCCATAAAAAAAATGAAATGGAACGAAACATTTCAACTTTAGCACTAAACATTTTTCTAGTGCTAATCCAAATTTTCATTCAACATCAAATGTGATTTCCTAGATTTCTATACTTAGACATTCTCAAGAGTTCTTACATGGACTTCTAGAGTTCATTTTGGAACTGAATGAATGCCTTCTTTGAGGAGTTACGATACATTCTTTGAATCTAAGAAAAATGTTGACAGCTCTATTCAAGTTGTTCGGAAAAGCAAAACGAAAGAAAAAACACGCCAAATAAAAAAAAAATATTAAACTTGTTCGGAACATAATCTTTATTTTGGCAATGACAGAAGACCACTGTGTAACAAATTCTTTATATTATTATTCTTCTATATGCCGTGATCCTTCAGGACGTCGGTGATAATGGTTCTCCACAACTTCCTGGTCTTTGTATTCCTTAGTAAACTTTGTCTTTTTTGCTATGTCTTCTAATCCATTTACACACAAGCTCTCCAGGTAGGGTATGCCCAGTTTTCCTTTTATCCCCCTTGCCTCGAATAAACCATACTGGGAGGGCTCTTTACCAATTATTTGGTGTATCATTATTGTCCGAATCGTAAGAATGTTTGCTTTCTGACCATAAGACCCGGGTGAAAATATCACCATGGTCGATTTGTCAAGAAGGTGACTTCATGTTATAGGGCTGGGGCACCTTTGCAAAGTGCCTGAAAATCATACCACTGGTTGCCTCGTAAGTGAAATTGGGTAGACGGAACTATTTGAGAGCCGTCGGTGGTTGTGATAGCACGAAGTCGCAAGTCACCGAGGGTTTGAGCATGCTGGACTCATTCAGGCTGTTGATCACGCCAGACAATGCACTCGCTACCAGAAACTGTAACTAAAGTCGGCTCAGAATAGTTGCAGTATATAACACAGGTACGCTCTGTGTGTGTTGAACAAATAGAAATGGGCCTAAGCACGCGTCTGCAACAGGGATTGACTAGCAGACAGGTATCCTTGGATACGAGTGGCTATTTTTATTATCTATGCCCTCTTTCTGATACTAGATATGTCATTTTTGCTTCTATTTTCTCTAAAACTTCGTCATTACTCCCATCTTCATCCAGTGGTACTCCTAATATCTTTTTGTGGAACAACGTTTGTGTCATCTGTTGCAAAAATATAGAATTATTGATAAAAAAATCAATATCTGCATTTAAATCATCAAATGCGTAGGATTTTGGTGTGTATTTCATAGGCAAATGAAAATCTTCAAATTTACGATTTTTTTTTTTTTTTAGGCGGGTGTTAGGTCCAACATTGCCAAAACCAGAAAACCTAGTAACTTTTGCTCGTCATGTGGTTGTCGGTACCGTAGTTTTTTTTTCCTGGAAAGGTGACGATATACATTTTTGTCTATGCATGTCTTAATTTTGTTGCTGTTTATTGTTGTGTTGTATAGCCCCCTCGTTCTGGGGGGGGGGGGGGTCTTAGACGACATTGATCGCTCGATAATAAAGTTATATTCTTCTCTCTCATCAGATGATCGCTGGTTGTTTTGAATTCAGAGATAAAAGAACTTCAACAAAAGGAATTTTACTCAACTATTTTATTAAAGTCAACGTATACATCTTCTAACTATCCAGTGGGGTCGCTCTCTCACTCCTCCGGGCGTGGTGGGTGGCAGTTCCAGACACGAAAGGAAACACGTCTACATTTTTCTACAGTTAAGAAACAACTCACTGAAAAAACCTTTCTCTATCTATCATTCCCACGCTAGTTCTGCCAATCAAAATCGACGTCCGCTATTTTGTCTTGTATTTGATCTCTAAGGCCAGCCTTGGAAAGTCAGAGCAGAGATACAATTCCACGTAAAAATAATACTCTGATAAATTACTATTTAACAGCTGCATTTTAATTTACTTTACATGTTATTTTAGTTTTTGGTTGAGGCTTTGACTTTTTCTATCTTTTGAGAGGACGTCGAACCTTTGTTGTTAAATAATATTTTATTGGAGTAGCTCAGACTATTTCTATTTAAGTTCTTATCAGAAAAAGATTTAGAAAATATGGAATTTATACAACTTCGGGACAGTATTCAGAAACGATTCCACTCGAGGCGGAAATCTAAAGACTTACATAGGCGAGAACATGACCAAGACTCCATTCCTTACAGTTGCGGTAAGGAATTTTAAGGTGAAACAAACTACCTTCTAAAAGTAAGACGGGAATTGAGATGGTGAAATCACGCATTTATAGAGGAGGAAAACTGTAATAGTCAGCTCCTGTTTAATGAAGTGCAAATAGTAGAAAATTGGAGAGTTTGACGTCTGAAAGAATCAGCGTATATGCTAGTCTATCTATCTATCTATCTATCTATCTATCTATCTATGTCAGTCTGTTCATATCTATCTATGTCAGTCTGTTCATATCTATCTATCTATGTCAGTCTGTTCATATCTATCTATCTATCTATCTACCTATCTATCTATCTATCTTTGTTTTCTTTCTTTTTTTTTGAAATCTAGTGTTTCACATTTAGAGATAAACACACATCTATCTCATTCTCTTCATATCTATAATATTTATCTGATTATTTTTTTTGTAAAAAAAGCATTACTAAAGAGGTCTTCATAAGACCTCTTTAGTAATGCTTTTACAATATCCTTAACGTTTTTACAAAAAATATATATAATAAAATCTCTATTCTATCGGGAAACATTTTTATCAGCCTAATACAAAAATAAAAACAGCTGGATTCGATCCATTTACAGCCTAATACATGGGAACAACACATAGAGAGTGTTTTGCAATCGTTTACGAATAGTGGGAGGGGAAACCGAAGGCCAAGAGACGAAACAATGTCGGAATATCAGAGAATAACGTGACCCACCCAAGCAGATAGCCTGACATGTCCTCTGCTTGCTCAGCATGATCTAAAAATAATTTCGTCGCTATTGAACTTCATAGAGTATTCATTATGGGATGCTAGACGTAATCGATTGCTCTCTGAACGCCACGATGTTGCAATCTGCCAGCAACAGGAAAGAATTGAAATGGCTGGGAACATCGAGAGAAAAAGAAAAGAGATATATTGACAATGTCTCTAGTTTAGCCATCAGCGTTTAAATCTCTCTGCCTATAGATTCATCGCAGCGTGATCACATCCGCTTATATCGGAGTGATCATATCTGCCAATATCTGATAATATGAGTATTTCAAAGCTTAGCTTCGAACGATCAGTGTCGGACACCCTCCTTGAAAATTGAACTTGATTGAATAGTAACGATCCGCTAGGCTATCTAGCTTTGTGATCTTATCAATTTATTAATCTTTTCTGAGTCTGACACAAGGTTGAAAATTGAGTACTGAGTGAGGATCAAATAGAGGTTGTCTGTCTGCTTCACTCTATCTATCTATCTATCTATCTATCTATCTATCTATCTATCTATCTATCTAAGTTCCTTCATTATCTATCTATCTATCTATCTATCTATCTATCTATCTATCTGTCTGTCTGTCTGCCTAAGTTCCTTCATTATCTATCTATCTATCTATCTATCTATCTGTCTGTCTGTCTAAGTTCCTTCATTATCTATCTAGCTAGCTAGCTATATATATAGCTATATATATAGCTAGCTAGCTAGCTATCTGTCTGTCTGTCTAAGTTCCTTCATTATCTATCTATCTATCTATCTATCTATCTATCTATCTATCTATCTGTCTAAGTTCCTTCATTATCTATCTAGCTAGCTATATATCTATCTATCTATCTAGCTATCTATCTATCTGCCTGTCTGTCTGTCTATCTGTCTAAGTTCTTTCATTATCTATCTATCTAGCTAGCTGTATATCTATCTAGCTAGCTAGCTATCTATCTATCTCTCTGTCTGTCTGTCGAAGTTCCTTCATTATCTATCTATCTATCTATCTGTCTGTCTGTCTAAGTTCCTTCATTATCTATCTATCTATCTATCTACCTATCTGTCTGTCTGTCTGTCTGTCTAAGTTCCTTCATTATCTATCTATCTATCTATATCATTCTCTTCATATCTATCAATCTATCTCAGTTTGTTCATATTTATCTGATTATTTTAGTTCATATCTATCTATATTTTTCTATCTCAATGTGTTCATATTTATTTATGTATCTCATTCTGATCATATCTATTTATCTATCTCGGTCTGTTTATATCCATCTAGCTATCTATTTATTTCAGTCTGTTCATATCTATCTATCTACCTATCTCTCTCTCTCTCTCTATATATATATATATATATATATGTGTGTGTGTGTGTGTGTGTGTGTAGGTGTGTGTGTGTGTGTGTGTAGGTGTGGGCGTGTGTATGTATCTATCTCATTCTGTTTATATCTGTCAATTTATCTAGCTATCTTAATCTGTTCATATCTATCTATATCAGTTTGTCCATATCTATCTACTTATATATCTTTATCTATCTATCTATCTATCTATCTGTCTGTCTCAATTTGTTCATATTTATTTATCTATCTCATTCTGATCATATCTATCTATTTATCTATCTCATTCATTTCAGTCTGTTCATATCTATCTATCTCTCTCTATATATATACATATGTGTGTGTATATCTATCTTATTCGGTTCATAACTATCCTTATCATTTTGCCCATATCTATCTATCTATCTATCTATCTCAGTCTGTTTCTATATATCTATTTATCTGTCGATCTATGTATCTATCCGTTTGTTCATAACTATCCATCTCTTTCTGTTCATATCTATCTATCTATCTATCTATCTATCTATCTATCTATCTTTGTCAGTCTGCTCATATCTATCTATCGATCGATAGCAGTCTGTTCATATCTATCTATATATATATCTATGTATCTTTGTCAGTCTGTTTATATCTATCTATTTATATGGGACTGTTCATATCTATGCATCTATTTTAGTTTATTCCTATATACCTTAGTTTGTTCATATCTATCTATATATCTATGTATCTTTGTCAGTCTGTTTATATCTATCTACTTATATGGGTCTGTTCATATCCATGCATCTATTTTAGTTTATTCCTATATACCTCAGTTTGTTCATATCTATCTATCTATCTCACTCCGTTCCTTAATATCTATTTATGCTGTCTTCTTTAAATATATAATCAACAGTCACATTCACTGTATACTCATGTCTGTATAGTTTTGTTCACGCACTTCATAATTCTCTACATCTGTTTATTTGTGTCTATATCTATCACTATTTGTTCATATCTATGTATTGTAAAAGGGTTCATATCTACCTATCTATCTCACTTTGTTTATATATAGTCAATATCAGTTTGCTATATCTATCTACACAAACACATGCACACACACACATATATATATATATATATATATATATATATATATATATATATATATATATATCAGTACATATCTATGTATATATTAATCTGACTGTACTTTTGTTGTCTACGTACAAACAAGATAGTGCTGGTTCTCATTGCTAAACAATGCCTCTAGTTAATGTGTGTTTGGCACTGAACCACAAAAATGGAGATAATTATTATTTCCGTTCTCTACAGAAGTGTTAAGAAATAAATGTCGGTTGTAGTGTTTGTGATATTCTGTTGCTGAAAAACAACTCGTTGTAAATCAAAACCTGTTTTTGCCAGGACAATTAATTTGCTTTTTACGGTTTATCAACACTTACTGGTTTATTTGAATCCGAAACATATATATCGCATTGTAAGTGCAATTCCTTTTACGTGGAAATATTAACCTGTGTATTGGATGAGTCTAGATATATTTACGGGAAGCAATTGGGATTACATTATTCTATTACCTGCACAGCACCAAACACAAAACCTACAAAATCCACAAAAGTAAAATACAAACGATGCAAATAATAATAATAATCCTGATAACCATAACAAAACTAAACACACAATCCTAACTACCAACTCCATAACAACTACTATTTAAACACGACCATCAAAGAGTTGCTAACAACTGGTAATGTTCATATCATCCTCATATAATTAGTACATTAACAACCTCAGCAGCTTCTGCTCATCAGAGTACGCGATTCGAATGCGATACAGCCACCAATTATTTTGGCTGATTCTTTTCAATGTATCAAGGCTGCCTGATGCCAAGAGACAACACGGAGTTGTACAAGTTATGAATAACTATCAAATATGGGGAAAATCTCATCCACGACCAGATTATCGTGTAGCAAATGGACAGCCAACATATTTTTAAATTAATATAAATATATATATTACAGCAAAAACATGTAAGAATCATTACACAATTGTAGTGGTGTTTCGACGCATAATAATGCGTCTACTCAGGCGATTGTAGTGTAATTCACAATCACCTGAGGAGACGCATTGTTACGTGTTGAAACACAACTGCAATTGTGTAGCGATTCTTACATGTTTTAGTTGTAATATCCTAAAATAAATAATATTGCTCTACTATGTATTGTGCCCTTTTTTTTAAATTAAATGTTACGAACTCTATTCGATCTCATCGTAATATATATATATATATATATATATATATATATATATATATATATATATATATATATATATATATATATATGCCTATCAGCTAATATCCTAAAAGCCAAACAAAATAGATTTATTTCTAATAATTTCCGTCAGAGAAATACTATAAAAAGTAGAAATTACTTTTTCTGTGATATTGCATTTTCGAAGTGCACAAATATTTTTTGAAATAAAGATTAATAATAAAAGAAAAATTGTAATCTTACACTTATCGGTTTCAAGGGTAATTCTTACTCTCAAATATTACTCTTAATATAACACAAAAATGCATACGCTAAGAGAAATATTTTCTGGCGTTAAAATTCCCCTGCCTCCAATAAGCATTCATTCAAAATATGAGTGTTCTGTATGAAACAGTTTTGCCGTCTATGACAAAAAAAAAATAAACTCCTCCTAATCATATTTATTATATCAGTGTTTATGTCTCTGCAAGTTGAATTGAAATTTGTTGTTAAAATATCTGAAATTCTTCTGTTGCCATAAACATGTTTTTTTTCTTCACCGCTATCTTTTCACTCACGAATGAATTATTGCAAGACAACATGGACAATGAGAGTTATTAAAAGTGCGTTGACGCCGCCAACGGGAGTTGAAAAGTTCTCAGCTCAGCCAACTTCAAAAAATCTGATTAAACAACAAAATTAAAGTTAATATCTCTTATTGATCGGATATCATATCGCTTTCCCTGCATATATATATATATATATATATATATATATATATATATATATATATATATATTAAGTGCTCTTTTAATTAAACAGTCTTAATTACATGATTGCTCGAGAAAATTCGGGGAAAATATGCGTTCTCGAGAGAAATCGAACCTGTATTCCATACGGAAAACTTCATATAACCTGATGAGCTGTTAACAAATTCGAAGTACAAATCGAAAATGTGTGTTTATAAGCAGTAATTTGAACTTTCTAAACGGAAAGTTTTCTGTTACTGAATGGTTAACAGCCCAACAGGCTACATGACGTTTACCCTATGTGATAGAGGTTGCATACCTGATGGAAAAGGCATATTTTCTACAAAACAGAGCATTTACTCAAATAAGCTGTATCAAAAAAAAAAAAAATACGTTTAAACAGAAAATATATTAAAATATTTGTCGGATTTGTTCATTTCATCTGATATATATATATATATATATATATATATATATATATATATATATATATATATATATATATTTATTTTAAAATATGATTCCAACGCTACATAATTTTTTAAAAATAATAATAAAAATACTAAAGAACTTTGCATTATTTACCTAACGAGTTCTTTCCTATATATTTTTACGCACACACACACACACACACACACACACATATATATATATATATATATATATATATATATATATATATATATATATATATATGAATAAGTTCTGTTTACCAATTTTTTATTAAATTTTTCAAATTTCCGAATAAGCTGTTTTGTCTTATCGGTAAATTCTTAACTCTTATTTTATATTATTTCTCCCGATTATTTTCGAATGTTATTCCCTTTGTTCTCAATGGTTGTTCTCTGCGAAATGTTTTGTTGTTATAATTACATTAAATACAAAATTTTAAAAAGAGCGACGCTCCTACGTCAGCCTCTTTCTGGATAATGATATCGTCCTTTATATTTGTTATTATATTTCTCAATATAAAAAAAATAACTTTAATTTGTTTTAACCACAGAATTAATCTGGGAAATTTAACTATACACACACACACACACACACGCGCGCGCGCACACACACATATATATATATATATATATATATATATATATATATATATTGTATTTAGGTAATAATCCTTTTTTATACTTGCATAATAACCTCATCCACATGTAAAAAAAGATAAACGTAATGGAAACTCAATAACATTAACTATGAACACGGCCACAATGTGCTGACCGTGTTCAGAAAATGAAACATTTCTATAATTCTAGATATATTCATAACACAACACGTACATTCAGTTAAAAGTAAAAAATAAAATTAGTCATGATAATGATTAAATGTATGGCTGAAAGCGCACAGACATGCAGAACTTTTGGATAGTTTTACACACTTTGTGCATAGAAAAGAAAACACAAGAAAGTTAAATAAAAAGCTTAATCGTAGTACCTTGTTAGTCGCCTTTAACGAAAAACACACACACACATATATATATATATATATATATATATATATATATATATATATATATATATATATATGTTTAATGAATTAATGGATATAATGTTTTAATCAAACATATTTTCATTATTTGAAACGTTATTTTTATATAATTATTTATATATATATATATATATATATATATATATATATATATATATATATATATATATATATATATATATATATATATATATATATATATATATATATATATATATATATATATAAAGTTCACTTTGTGACGCGTTTCGTACTTCAGTACTTCATCGGAGTACTAAATGCGTTATGTTGATAGCACTACGCATCAGCAAGACAGGTGAGTGCTGAAAATTTTAGAATTTTTTTTTTTGTCTACCCGAATTCATTTATAATCTTTTTCGTTTTTTTCATCACTTTTTAAGTAGATATTCCACACCATGATGTTAGAAGATCTGCCAGGCATGGTGAAATGTTCTAAGAGCCAGGACGCAAATTTACTATAGATGACATTGTGATTAAGGCAAAATTGTGATTAGTTTGTTTACGGTGGGCAACCAACGCATTTGACGTATTATATTGTAAAATGTCCCTTTTTTTTGTTTATAAAATGTTTTATTTTGATTCCTTGACGTTTCTCCTATGTATTTTTTGTGACAATTATTACAAGCGAATGTGTAAACTCCTACGTCATGTTTTAGCATATTATTTTCTTTAATATTGCCTAAGTCTTTTATTGTTTTCTATGTAGTAGTAGAAATTTATTAGGTGGCTTTTGCTGGTTGATTTCCGATGTACAGAGTTTTAAACTGTTTTAAACTGTTGTTAACGCGGTGTGGCTTCATATCTAGGAAGGGTAAGAAATTGTGTTTTTCTATTTCGTATGTAAATTCTATTGTGCATTCTACTTTGTTTAGTTGATCTGCTAGGTCAGGCAAATCAGTACCACGAGAATATATAAACAGAGCATCATCAATATAACGGAAGTGTGTTGATTGTTTGGATAAAATATTTTAGAAAGGACATAATTGAGCAGGATTACCTGGAATTTATAAACAGTGAAATTAACATTTATTGGCTTAGGGTTGGAAAGACACTATTTATATTATTCGGACTATTGTCCTCATCTTTGTCGCCATATTTATTACAGCGTTTCGGCCGGACACATGGCACAATGGTTAGATCCAGTGACAGAACCCAAAGAGTGTGAGTTCAATACCCGGTTAAGGCAGTGGAGAACTTGGAGAGGGGAATTAACAGGAGATAACTGATAACTGACATCCATTAAACATTTCACGTGGAACTAGAACAGTCTACCCCAGTGAGCGAAATAAAGGGTTCAGTTCGACATTCCAACCACCTGAAGAAGGCCGGAACCTACAACGGCCGAAACGTTGTAATAAATATGGCGACAA